CCCAAACCCAACCCAAACCCAAAAGATTATGGTAGGTATTATATATATATAAAATATTAAATAATAATACGCAGTTACGTAGGTAGTGGTAGAGTATTGTGGTAGTAAAAACCAAAACCCAATCTTGGTATTTTATTAGATTTTGGTAGGTATCAAAAATCTTGGTAGGCATAAATCTTGGTATTTTAAAAGATTATGATAGGGATTTAAGAAAAATATTTTTTCTCCATTAAAAAAATTTTTTTTTTCGAAAAATTTATTGTTTTACAAATAATTATATTGTAAAAAAAAAAATTATTATTAGAACATTCAACATTATCTGCCTGCTGGAATAAACTTACAATGGGCTTAACCCATTCTAATTAGAAGTACCTCTTAATACTATTTAATAATAAAATAATCAATCTAACTCTAGTAAAATAAATAAATATCATTAAAAGTTAAAAAAAATAATTGATGTTATAAAGTTATCGTCTTTATATTAAATTATATAGATGACATGAATGAATCAAAAAATTAATATTTTCATTTTTACATTTAAAATGTAATCTCATTGTTAATTAAACATTAACAAACATCAGAAACGATTATTTTTTGAAAATCATCTTCCTGTTTTTTATCAGGAGTAAATACTACTAAATCTGAAAAGTCTTTTTTAAATTCAGTGATCATCATATCTATATTTTGATTTAATTTTAAAATTTTCAACTTTACCTTCAAAGCTTTTAAAATTGGTAAAATATTTTCTTATTGTAATCCACATGGACAACCTTAAGGATGATTATCGTGATAATTATGATATCTTTTCTTTCCATGAGGAGGCGCATCAGCTATCAAATAAAGCATTTTCTCATAATTATCATTCCACTTTAATTTTATTGAAGCATTTAAGCCATCCAAAACGGCTTCTGGATGATCATCTCCTCCATCTGCCTTTAATTTATCTAAAAATGAAATTATCTCTTAATCTGAAGTGAAATCTTAGGTTTTTAGAATTTATTCAGTATTTTTATAAACCTTAGCATGATCTGTATATGATACAACAGCAAATTTAATATCAAATTCTTCAGAATTAATATTTTTCTTAGCTTTTGCTTGTTTAATAATATCTTTAATTGTAGTTTTACACTTATCTATATAAGATCCCATTGATCCTGTAGTGTCTATTACAAAAGCAATATTAATTCCTTAAATTTAGTTTTTCATATGAAATTCCTTACATTAGAAATTATGAGCCTTAATTTTATCATCCTTTGTATGCCAAGCATGTTAATCGCAAAATGAATGATTTTTTTATTATTCACATAAAGGGCAATAGTAATTACACTTATTAATAATTTCCAATTCATTATAAATTGGATGATCCCAATTACTTAATTTCCAAAAATCTTAACACAAGACTTCATCAAATGTATACTTTTCAAAACCAACATATTTTTCAATTGAATGTCTAGCTTTAATTTCACCTTTTTTTTCTAAACATTTATTTTTTTCACATATAACTAAATGAAAATGAGCTCTTCCTCTTCTTTTGCAGCTCTAATCGCATGTTTCAGGGTCTGAACTTTCTCCAATCTAATATTTTCTTATTGTTGATTCTTTCTAATCTTTCTTATCTTCAATTTTAATTTGAACCTAAATTCCTTCATATGTTGTAAATATTTAATTTTCTTTATTTCTATGTCTGTCTGATGAATGAAGTCCAAGATGACCGTATTACTTATCACAAAATGTATTACATTCAGGACATTATTTATTACAAAAATGGAATTACTTTTCAGTTTTTTCCATGCAACAATGATTTCCTTCATGCTTTTCCTCTTTTAATGGTATTTGTTTAAAACATTTTTATTTTCCAATACCATTTGGAATATATCTAGTATATTAGAATTCAGAAAATTAAGTTTTCCAAGTTGCTTTTATTTATGTATAATCTATTTTGCATATACCTTCTTCTTAACAAAATTCTTTACATTCATGTTTATTGTTACAAAAATGGTTATTCTTTTCTAAAGAGTGCTTATGTGGTTCTTCGCATTTTTTTTAGGGACAAAATTTACAATTATGAACGCAATTTGTATCTTAGCAATCATGTGTAGTAAAATGAGGATTTGAACGATCTTTCTTACAATTTTTATTACAATATTAACATTTTTCTATACAAGGATGCTCATTTAAACAATTATGTTAACCAACATGCTTGAAGCTTTACATACAGTTGCTCATACATTTAATTATTTAACATCTATCATTACATCTATGATCCGATTTATTACATAAATGTTCTAATTTTTCATCATGTCCAGCTTTATTATCACATATTTTTTCAGGACATGCTTAACAAACTTAATCACATTTGTGACTTTCCCTTTAACATAAATGTACATTCAGATCTAATTAGACAAGCTTTTTATAAGTATCTTTTAAATTATTCAAATTTTATTTGTCTTTTTCTAATTAATTAAATATTTCGAGTTAGTTCATTAATTATTCTTTCTCCTACTAAATTTAAAAAATTTTTGTCTGAAACTGTTCCAATAGAGCTTAAATCTGTTCTTATTCTAAATCAAACAATTCAAATTAATCCATTTTTTCCAATTGACTTTATTTTTCTTTGAGTTATTCACTTTGTACTTAATATTCATTAAAATGTTTAGAAAATTCATTTATTTAATCTAAATCGGACTTTAATTTATTAATTTATTAATCTACTTAAAGATTCTCATCTTGAAGTTTTTAATGGACTGAAATCAATTACTATTTATTTTTTACTATTTATTCTCCATTTCCCTCTTACATATTAATTTCTCGGATAGTATCTTATTATTTTTTATCAAGTTCTTGTTTTATATTTTAAATATCACTTATTTCAGAATTAATTCTTTTTTATGTATNATTTAATTTTCTTTATTTCTATGTCTGTCTGATGAATGAAGTCCAAGATGACCGTATTACTTATCACAAAATGTATTACATTCAGGACATTATTTATTACAAAAATGGAATTACTTTTCAGTTTTTTCCATGCAACAATGATTTCCTTCATGCTTTTCCTCTTTTAATGGTATTTGTTTAAAACATTTTTATTTTCCAATACCATTTGGAATATATCTAGTATATTAGAATTCAGAAAATTAAGTTTTCCAAGTTGCTTTTATTTATGTATAATCTATTTTGCATATACCTTCTTCTTAACAAAATTCTTTACATTCATGTTTATTGTTACAAAAATGGTTATTCTTTTCTAAAGAGTGCTTATGTGGTTCTTCGCATTTTTTTTAGGGACAAAATTTACAATTATGAACGCAATTTGTATCTTAGCAATCATGTGTAGTAAAATGAGGATTTGAACGATCTTTCTTACAATTTTTATTACAATATTAACATTTTTCTATACAAGGATGCTCATTTAAACAATTATGTTAACCAACATGCTTGAAGCTTTACATACAGTTGCTCATACATTTAATTATTTAACATCTATCATTACATCTATGATCCGATTTATTACATAAATGTTCTAATTTTTCATCATGTCCAGCTTTATTATCACATATTTTTTCAGGACATGCTTAACAAACTTAATCACATTTGTGACTTTCCCTTTAACATAAATGTACATTCAGATCTAATTAGACAAGCTTTTTATAAGTATCTTTTAAATTATTCAAATTTTATTTGTCTTTTTCTAATTAATTAAATATTTCGAGTTAGTTCATTAATTATTCTTTCTCCTACTAAATTTAAAAAATTTTTGTCTGAAACTGTTCCAATAGAGCTTAAATCTGTTCTTATTCTAAATCAAACAATTCAAATTAATCCATTTTTTCCAATTGACTTTATTTTTCTTTGAGTTATTCACTTTGTACTTAATATTCATTAAAATGTTTAGAAAATTCATTTATTTAATCTAAATCGGACTTTAATTTATTAATTTATTAATCTACTTAAAGATTCTCATCTTGAAGTTTTTAATGGACTGAAATCAATTACTATTTATTTTTTACTATTTATTCTCCATTTCCCTCTTACATATTAATTTCTCGGATAGTATCTTATTATTTTTTATCAAGTTCTTGTTTTATATTTTAAATATCACTTATTTCAGAATTAATTCTTTTTTATGTATCTAAAAGATTATTTTTTTTAGTTATTTTTTCAATTTTCTATTAATTTTGGGCAATAAAATTTTTAATATCTTAAATCTCTTTCTCTTAAGAGATAATTAAATTTAAAATTTGCTGCATTTATTCCTCCTTTTTATTTTTGAATAAATTAATCACTTTTGAATTTTTTGCACCACTCTAAAAGTCTCCCTATATAATCTTTTCCTATTCCTACTCAATTTAAATATCTTATTCCTCTCTCTCTATTTCTTCCTAGCAATCCTTAAATAACTGAAACTTTTCTAATTATTCTGAATTCTAATCTAAATTCTCCTTTCTTATTTAACATTAATTCAATTAATTATTTAATTCTTGCTCATTTATTACTTTTAATTATTAAGTTAATTATTCGATTCTTTGTTTATTTTGTCCAAATTTTTTAGACTATTCTTTTTTCAATTACTCCTTTAAATCTTCTACCCATCTTTTTTAACTCTTAAAATTATCAATTTCTTCATCTAATTAGTTTGATTTTTCTTCGTATTCTTATATTTCTTTATTCAAATAATTGTAATAAAAATTTGAATCTGTTTATTTCAATAATTCTAATTCCTAAGTTTTTTCATTTTTTTTTTGTAAGTATTCTTTGACTTATTTTTAAATTTTGTCAAGTTTTTGAGTTTCTTCTTCAATATGAACTTGAGGTACATTAATATCATTTTCATTATTAGGAATGTCTATTTCATTAATTTGAGATTGAATATTCTCCAAATGTGTATTTTTTTCTAATAATTATTAATCTAATTGATTAATTTCTTTTAATAATTTTTCTTAATTAATTTTAATTTAACTTCTATATTATTCTTTACTTTTATAATCTCCATCATACTTTTCTAATTAAATTTTTTATTGTTTAATGATTTCCATATCCTACTCTTTTTTACTTTGAAGTTCTGGAATTTGTTATGTTATTTAAACTTAAAGTTTTTCAATATAGTTCAACTAAGCAGTTTATGTTTATTCTTTATCTTAGTTCATTCCAAAAAAGGATAAAATTATGCAGTCATTAATTTTATCATAAAATTCATATTTCATCATTGAAGTTTTTGATTAATTTTATTTTTCTTTAATTTCATTTACAAGATTTTAGGTTTAGAACCCTTCCAATTTAATTTCAGCATCTTTCATTTCTTACTCTATCTGCTCTTTTCTTTTTTTTTTTTATTTTTCTTCATCCTCACTTGTTATTTTCAATTTACTTAGCTGATTTTCTAAGTATTTTATTTGATCATCTAACAATTTTTTCAGTTTTTAAGATGTATCAATATGATCTTTGAATTATTTACACAACAAATGACATTAATTACATTTTTCTAAACAAAATTCATAGTTTTTCGTTTAATCTATTAAAAAATTCTGTAAATTAGTCAAATTGTTCTAAATCTTTGTTTAAACTTCTTAATTATTGATACTACATGTTTCTTTTTATGTCTTTGAAATAATTTACTCTCTTCGAAACTGCATCATTTATTTAAAATGTGAACTTGCTTCTTATATGTTTGTATTATGAGTTGAGATTGAATCCTTTATTTCAAGATCTTCATATATTTATTTCAGCAAATCTTTATTTAATAGGAGTTAATAGTGATCTTAAATTTTTTCAAATTTATATTTGTTTGGGAATAATCTCTAATTTTAACATTGAACGTTATCCAATGTAAAATCATACCATAATTCATTACTTTCCTCAAAAATCTTTTCTATTCTTAAATACAATTATATCAAACTTGCATCTTTATTATCTGATAATTCCAATTGGCATAGCAATATTTTCATAATTTAAATTAATTCTTCTCCATCCTTCCAACGATTTTAATTTGCAAAATTATTTAAAAAGTATTTTCTAACTTCATTAATTTATTAATCAAATTATTTATTTTCATTATTGACTAATTTTTCAACTGCAAATTTATTGTTAAATAATTTTTTTAAAAATACAATTTCTTCTGATCCATCTTCTTTTAGTCTTTCAAGATTTTTTAATAATTCTTCCTCAACTCCTGAATTATCAGTTGAACTCACATCTCTTAATACAAAATATAAAATTCCTTAAAAAATCTTTTCACCTTTTAATTACTTTGATGCTTCAACCAAATGCTTAAAAAGATCATTGAAATGCCTATTAAAAGTTAGATCAGAATTTAAGATAGTAATATCGCATACAGCAGTTAGAAATGCCAACATTTTAATTTCTTCTTTATCGGTTCTAGCTCCATTGAATAATCCTTCACAATCTAAAATTAGAAATGTTTAATCATTTTCATATGCAATACTTGCCCAAATTCCATCTGTACATCTAGCTGATGAAACAGAGAAACGAGTACCAAATACTCTATTTAATAAATAACTTTTGCCTGAGGATTATTTACCGATAATTCCTACTACAAATATCTTTTTATAGTAATTAGAAAAATGATCTTCCAAAAACCCTAAATGTAATTATTTTACCTTTTAATCTACATCTACACTAATATTAGTTAAAGTTTAAGATTATTATCTAAATCCATCATTTAAAGGTATTAAGTTGCTATTTTCAATTGTACATAACTATAGAGGAACTCTTGAATATACAACATTTTTTATTTATTCACATTTAAATTCTACAAATTAAACTTATGTAGAAGAAAGAATGATTTCATTTATATTCATAATAGTTAAATAATTTTCCATTTAAACATAATAATCTTGATTAACATATATATTAATATTTCTCTTCTTTTCTTTCAATAAAAATTGAGAGTTTGGGCCAAATTTTATAAACGAACCTTTAGCTATATCAAGCGCAGGATTTCCAACCACTTTTTCTTCATTATTTTCTAATTTATTAATTTTTTTTTGGGAGACTAAATTACTGATAATTTTTGCTTTATTTTCCTATTAATTCCCTTACTTTTTATTAAATTGACCCAAAATGATAACATCACAATTATCTCCAAAAATTTTGATTGGTCCTCTTATTTCTATACTTTGTATTCTCATACAATTTTAATCATATCTATCACAACAACAACTGTTAGCAAGATAAAAATATTTTCCACTAGGGCAGGTAAGTAGTTAATTGTATTTTAGTTCTGGTTTAATGCTTGGTATGAAATATGTTTGTTATGTTTCATTTTTTTTTTCTTCAATACATTTAACTTTTTCAAAATCTTTATCTTATTATTTATAAATTTCATCATCTTTTGACAATACTATAAATTTATTACTATAAAAAAGAAATGCAACTTTAGTTATAAGAAAATACTTATTATTTTCTTGTTAATAGCAAATGTTTTGTTCATTGTTGATTGTTCCGAATTCTGTTATTATTATTTGATAAACATATTTTTATTTAAAGTTAAAAATATATAGATTTCCTCTAGTGTAATCATGAAAATAAACAGCTTTTTCTGTATCTTATAAATCAAATTGTTTGATCGACTTTAGTGAACATGTTTTTTGAGATTGAAAAAAGATATGAGTTTTATGATATTTGTTTTGATAAAACGTTTGAATAATATATATAGTAGATTTTTCTTTTGTCTGAAAAACATCTATAATTAAAAATGAATTAGGAATATAAGGTGAAAAAAGTTCACTATTCAAAATTATATTCTAAAATTCATTTTGCAGAATTTTTTCTACTTATCCTGAGGGATCATTATTACATCTTGATAACTTTAAAGAAATAGAATGAACTTCATAATACATTTATTTCCCTAATTCCTCAATAATCTAATTGAGTTTATTTCCAAACTAATTTAGGATTTAATGAAAATTATCTGATACTATTTATAGAAATTTTTAAATCTGCTTTTAGAATTCATTATCTTAATGAATGTTGCTTAATGTATAACATAATGTTTTATTTTGATAATTAACCGTTTACAAAATATCATTTACATGTGCTTCAATATTCTTTTTTGAATCTGGCTCATCATTTTTAGTTTTTAGCCACCACCACTAATTTTCTTTTGATGAGAATTATTTAACCAAATTACCTTTAATTTTTTTCACCATTTCTTCTAATTTGTTTGATAATTCATTAAGTATATCTATCAAACTTTTGATTTAGTATTCTTTCTTCATAATTGTAATTAAATTATTGATTTACTTATTTTAAGACCTTAAAATTTAAATTATTAGTTTTTGAGTGATATCAAAATAAGAATGACAGAATCTCTTCTCCATATCTTTGTCAAAACTAAAGTTTCGAATTATTATAAGTTTAGGTGATAATGTTTATGAATTGATGAAGGGGTCATTTGGTATTTCTTATGATAACAACCATCCCCGATCATATGATATTACTTCTTTATTTTATTCCTCACCTATACCATAATCATTTCTCTATAATGTTTTTATACTAAAAGGAATAACCTCTTTTAAATACCAATTTTCTTTTAGAATAGTATCATTTAAGCAAAATTTGATATTGTCAGTTAAATCTTATAATATTCTAAAGAGAACTATTTCTATTGCTTTTTCATTAATTGGCTTAGTAATAAAAAATTTTTCAGGAAGAATTAAACAAAATAACATGTTATTTTAATACTAAATTGCAATCAAATTTCCCTTCTCAGAATAATTTATATATTATTATAGGTTCACTTTGTTATTAATTTGTTATTCAACTTCTTTTTCTACTTCCTGATAAGTTCCAAATACACCTTTTACTTAAAGAATTTGATCTTCCTTAATAGTATCAAAGAATTATTTAGTAGTCTTATTTAAAAAATCAATTTTGTCAAGTGTAAAATCCTATGCATCATCTGTCTTTATTGAATACAATAAAGTTATTTGTAAATTTTCCATTATTTACAATATTTTATGAATTTTAATCATACATTTTTTCTTTTTAAAAGAAATGTAATAGAATTATAACAATTATTTCAATTAAATTTACAAAATTCATAATAAAACATTTCTTATTAATAAGATTATATATTTATAATAGTAAATCAATTACTTTAAAGAAAGATTACAAGGGTTGAGTTTGGAATTACTGTATATGATTACCTATAAAAAAGAAATGGATAATTCTTATTTCCTATATATGCAGATGGTTCTGGATTATTAAATATAATTTCAATAAAAATTGTGAGGTGAGCCCATTTTGAGCTAGTCTTCTAGGGCAAAGATAGCCCAATTTTGTTTTAGAAAAGATGAACTAGTGATCATAACTGATTACTTACTAAATTGTATTTGTAAGAGAAGAGAAGGAAAAAAAGTCATCTCTAATAATAGTTCTCAATTATTTTCGTGAAAATTTGTAAAATACCTAATGAAGTGAATAGTATCAAGCTAAATCTGTTCTAATTGTTTTTTGGCTAATTTTTAGCTTTTTCAGTTCAATGGTATTTAGCTTAGCTGAATATGAAGGTAAAATAGATGCTTGTTTAATGGAAATTATCTTATGAATTGTAGCATAATCTAAAATAATTAAATAATTATTTTTACTTAGCTTATAAGTTTACCTTAATTCATACATGTATTAACTATTATAATTTTTGAAAAATTAAAAAGAAATAATAACAGAATATTAAGTAAAATCAATTAAACTTTTAATATCAAATAAATACAATTCTTATTTGATTATAGCATTTTTCTAATTGATCTAACATATTTATTATTTATAATCTTTAATGTATAAATTAACATTGAAATTTTTGGACAAACTTATTGAACAGAAATATTAACTAGAACATCCAAGCCACCCATTCTAAATTTCAATCAATTCTCCTTTATTTATTATTTAAAGAGCATTATAACATAATCATGTTCATCATATAATGTTGTGGACAAGTTTTAATAATGTGAATATCCATTACTTTGACTATTTTAGTTTGAATAGGGGAATCCAATAAATCTACAAAAATAAAATCACTTCCAATTGAGTGGATGTGAATTTGACTATTCATGTATTTGCATTTATTAGAATTAATGCAATATAATATAAAGAAAAATGCGATTGGAAAACTCTCTTCAATTTTCATAATTGTAGATTAATTGATGAATCATGGCTTTAATTTTCTATAAGATAAAATGAAAAATTTATACTTAATAGAAATTAGTTTATTATTTTAGCAATTTCATTATTGTTATGTGAAATCATATTATAATACTTATATTTGAGATTCAATAAGAAACTTGATGTGCTGTTGTTTATATTATTTAATTTTGCTTTAAAAGAAATGAATACTTTTTAATAATCAAATAAGACCCTATAGACACTATATATTGAATTCTTTTTATTTTGTTTAAAATGTATAGCTGAATTGAGCAAAGTCTAATTCATGTATATTTACAAAATGTATGTATTGTGATTGAATCTAAAATAAAAAGTAATTAATTTTGTTTATTTTTAGTATTTTTAACAATTTCTTTATCAACTGATTTGTATTTTTGAATTAACTTTACTTTGAATCCTATTTATATTATAAATATCACGATACATTTGAAAATGTATAGAAAGGAATGAATCATAAAAATTAAATGATGATATAGGATTTGTAACTTAAAGATTTACCTCTCCTTATTATATGAATATTATTAGCTATGATTAAAGAAGTTCATTTTTAAATGGTTGTATATTGAGATGTAGAAGAAGGATTTTTATGAGACATAAGCAAAATAAAGAACAAATCAATGATTTTTTATTTTATGATATTTGCAATTTGTATGGATAGTTGGATTTCATAGGTATATATGTTTCAATTATTTTGTAATCATAAATTAATATTAGAGATTCAATGTTTAGTCAAAAATAATAATGAAAATCCTTCCACAAGATGAGGTTTTTTTAATTTTATCCAATATGTTATATAATAAATTTCCATTTTCTTTAGTTAATTCAAAGACTTCTGTTTTTTAAGTGATTTATTATTCATTTTCAAAAAATCCATACTATTTATATTTGAATAAGAGATCAATTGAATGTTCTTCGTTTTAAAAATTTAATATAGCAATCTCTCAAGCATTAAACATGATTAAGTAATTTTTATAACTTTTTATTTTAAAATAATAATGTGATTTCATTTTGATAACATTTTAAAATATAAATCTTTTAAAGATTTGATTTCATCTTAAATCTATATAAATATATTAGAAATGAATACTTTAGTAAATTATTAGATTTAATTATTTTTATCAATCAATTCTTCTTCTAAGATCAATTTGTTTCTTAAATTTAGCTAAATCATTATCTGTTGGCAAGGATAATTTCAATCATTAATTATCTGATGTTATTTATTAGACTGTAAAGTTTATTTTTTTAATCATCATATCTTTTTGTTTAATTTAATCTGTCTAGATTTGAATTTGTTATTTAAGATTAATAATTTCTGACTAAAGATTGTAGTATAAATTACTTACAAAGAAAAATTTAGATTTTACATATGTATAGTTTTCAATTCTCAAACTTAATGGTCATATATTTATTGCATAGGAGATTAGAAATCACTTGTTGAAGTCACAAAGCTACCTATTTTAGATAATATTTTTTAGAAACTTTCTCTAAATGATTTACAAGGTTAAGTTATTGATTTATTATTTTCTATTAATTTTTTACTTTATATCTTATTATCATATTAAAGTGTAATGGTACGTTGTGTAGCTTTAGGTGTACGAAACCAATTTTCACTTAATTCCTTTTATGAACTTCTAGTTGATGAACATTTGAAGTCTTAATCATATTAATTCATTTAATTAAGTTGTTAATATTTAATTATTAATTTTCATCTACATCTTTTCATTTCAGTTAGACACTTAATATTTATAACTTATGACTTCAATTCAAAGTTAAACACGTACACGTATATTTGAATCAGATTCTGAAACTAATACAAAAAAAAGACCCATTACTCCATCATCATAATCATAACTATTTAAGGACAATTAAAAAATTCATCATCTTACACATAATACATAATTTAATACACCTATAGTTTAATGTCATTACCATCCTGATTACCGATTAAATTATACAAAACTTTTGTAAACATCTGTATCATTAGTATAATTATTTCTAAGTGATTATTTATTACCTTTATGTCCTTAATGTGTAACCATTCATTAAGAAGATCATAATAATTTATATTAACCAATCAACCTTTCATCATCTTAATACCTGTTTAACAGAACAATATACTTAATATTTATATATTTTCTTATTTTTTAATACAAACTATTTCAACTAAAAATATTCTTAAATCTATCATTAAATAAAATTGTTGATATATGCAATCTATTGGCAAAAGATATACAAAATGTAACTGAACTTAAAACATTTATTAATGAACATTATAAAAATCAAAAAATTAGATTTCATGAAGCTAAAAATCTCTATATTAATTAATTGATCAAAATTTTTAAAATTACTCAATTAACTTAATTTATATCATCGATTAGTATATGAAATAAAATTAGTATTCTATCTTCAGAAATTAACTCTAAGAGGTGGCGGATGTGGAAGTTCGATAGAACTCGCTTCTTAACCTTCTAATTTACCTTGTTATATTCCCCTACATTTTTCTTCAAATATTAAAAAGTATTCAAATATAATTGCTGATAAAGCTCTAAGGCTATAAAAAATATATAGAACCATCAAAAGATTGGATAATACATTTTTGTTGGATAAATGTAATATCTCATTTAAATACATATAAACCTATCAGATATTAGTTCAACTAACCAGTTTAAGTAATTTGAAAAGAGCTATTTCATTCTTAATATAATGTATAAATTCTTAATGATAAAAATTAAGCTAAAGTTAAAATTTTTAATGTAGAAAAATCCAACTAATAAATAATTAAGGAATTAAAATTTATTTAGGCTTAAAAATTTAAACTCTTCAGCAACTTAAATATTATTGATTTGCCACTTTAAGGACAAATTCTCATAATTAATTGTTGTAGCTTTTCAAGATGGAATATTTTTTGTATTTATAAAATTTGATGGTAAAAAAAATTATTATTTGTTAAAGAATATTAATTTTATCATAACTATTCTTTTCATTTATAATTTGTTATTAAAAAATAATTATATATATAAGAATATTAATTTTATCATAACTATTCTTTTCATTTATATAATTTTTTATTGAAATAAATAATTATTTGTAATAGAATATTTATTAATCTATTAATTCCTATCTTGTAGTTATTATGCTAAATCCTTTATTGTAAATTTAACAATCTTTCTTTTTGAAGTCTGTTACTTTTCCATCACTATATGTGCTTCTCAAGTTTAATTTGACGAGATTAATAATTTTCTGGGCAAGAATCAAATCAACTTGTTACTTCCTTACAAGCAAATCCTTATTTTAATACTTTACAAATACCAACTGCACATGATATAAAAAGATTATTTAAATCATGCTCATATTGCAACTACACAGAGAACCTTGTTAAACTTTTTGGATTTAAAAAAATTTGCAACCTTCACCCATAATAGTTGAATATTTGTAATACTTTTATTCAATAAATCATTTGTATTTGATTCAATTACATAAAATAATTGTTTTGCTCTTTTATATACCTTTTGGAATACAGACACATCAGTTATTGACTAAGTGATATAATCATATGTACATAATCGAGTCTAAACCCAAGTCAAACTATTGCTAAGACAATCACCACAATAATTGATAAATACACTGAAACATGTTTAAAACTAGAAAAAATTGTGAAAAAAGTTTTTCAAATAACGATTTTTAAATCCTAAAGTAAAAATCCTATTTAAATTTAAAGTCCGATTACCTATTTGATAATATTTTCATAAATCCGAAATTAATAGTTTAAGATTAAATTGAAAATTTAATTATTTAATTTCCAGCTTAAATTGATTATTCATAATTGCCTTAGCTATTAAATATAAATCAATTATACCAAAATAACTCTCAAAATAAATCCAGTATTTTATTTATTGCTTATTAAGAATTGAAAAAATATATGTTAATGGAACTGATGTTTAAAATGTTATTTATAACTGTAAGATTACAAACATTTCAAGAGAGGAATTAAGATCAATATTAATAATTTAGTTATAAAATTAAGAAGTTTAGCCAGAAACGATCCATCATGTTATTACAAAATTGAAAATAAAATAGGTTTATATTCAATATTTATTAGAGCTGAGGTAGCTTAGAAGTTGTTTACGAATTACTTTAAGTATAAAATTTTAAGTATTGTCAATTTTATTTATGATCTTATTAATAAAAAATATCAATTTATACACAATAACATTAATAAAATAAAAAAGATACATTTAATTCTTCTGATTTCTTCTTTTTATTAAATATTTTCTTTAATTTTTTTCTAAATTTAAACTCATTTTTCGAAGCAATATTATGTAATCAAATTCTCTTTGTTTAATTAATATTAAATAAAAAAAAAAATTTAAATATGAATTATAATTTAAAAGGATATCCTATTTTATCCTTATAATCAACAAACTTCATAATGCTCAAAGGACAAAGATTTCAAATCTCAAATCTCTAAACCAAAGAAGTAGTAATACATCAAACCTGTACATGTAAAGCCGAAACTCCCTTAAACTTGTATGCAAATGAAGAGATACTCCTTTAGAGTTGAGCTTAAAAGACAATTAATATTGGATGATGAGATTCTTTTTAGCTGGTTTGAAAAGTTTAATAGAACCTTTAAAATTGATAAGTAGGAAGATTATTCAGATGACCAATGAATATTAAATATACATAAATCAATATTTTCCAATAATTATTCTTCACCTCTAATTTAATCAAAATGATTTGAATGAATATTTAAATTTTTTAAATCATTCGTAAATTCAATGAGAATAAAATTTTTACAATTGAATATAATTACTTTAATAGACAAAGGTATTTGAATAGATATTTAAATTGAAGTTTTTGGATAATGATTACATATTTTTTGACTATTTGTCATTATTTACAAGAATTCCCTCCTCAACTATTCTTAAAACTGCTTTAAGAACCACATTCTTTAATTATCAAGGGTTACTAATTCATTCCACAATGAAAAATTTGGATCTCCAGTATATTTAATTCTTATATAACTAAATTATCTGACATAAAATTATTTCAGATAATTTTTTTTCAAAAATAACATTATTATTAAATTTCTGTATAAAGACAAGATAATGAATTATTCTAAGATGAATGGAGGTTGAGGGATTTTCATACTAGTCCAAAATAATTTGATAAAACAACAAATTTAATTATATATTCCCAATTATCCCCTGAAAGGAATTTTAAAAGGTATTAATACATACTATTAATAATAGTTTTGTAAATTTTAGAAAAAGAATAGGTTTATGGTAACTCTAAAATTGGTTACTTTTTATAAGAGGTTATGGTTGTATAATTTATATATATGGGTGATTAGATTTTCCATTACCACAAAATTATTTGGGAAAAAGTCAATTTTGATATACCCTCCAACATTTTACAATACTCTTTCTTTTTATAAATATAAATCGATTCGAAATCCTGTCTTACTTCTACTTCTTATGATTACAGCCTAAACTAAAATATTTATCGTGAGAACCTGAAAGAAACATTAAAAATTTTCGATGCTTTTGATATGTAAGATATTAAAACCTAAACTCCAAAATTTCTGATTACAATACACACACAATACATCTTTATATTTTTATAAAAGTTTTTATCATTTCTCCAAACTCTCATTCTATTCTACCATATTCTTAATGCTTATTTATTTATATTTTTTGGTTATAGAAATTAATTTTGTATAGAAATTATCTGTAATGTATTTTTTTATAAATTATGAATAGAGGTTGAGTTAAAATTTAATTCCTGGGCAGATGGCATAATCATTTCAAAAAATTAACAACTTCTTCTGTTTTAATAGGAAAAGATAGATAATTTGATATGGATAAATAAATTAATTATATAAATTTTGTGACGGAAAATAGAAGGGAAAATTATCATTATACAAGAACAATATTCATCCTCAATACTTATAATAGTTGAAATGCAGGAATTAAAGAGTTTTTTTAAAAAAAGCTATCAATAAATTTTTTTCCTAATAAGTAATTTATACTATTCGATTAAGAATTGAAGACTAAATTTAATTTTGTATAAAATATAAAATTAAATTAACAAATTAAAAACTTGTTAGTTTACACCTTGAGGGTATGATAGTTGCCCGAGTCAATCTGGGCCTGTGAAGGGGGTAAGTAAGGGCGAATCATCCACAGATCGGGTTCCTTCCATGGAAGAGGTTTATATTTTTTTTTTTAATTTGATCGAATGGTTCCTAATCAGAATTCATCAGAAAAAGGCAAACACCTAGGAGGTAAAGAAATAATAGAAAGCTGAAAGAAAAAGGGGACTGAATATATTCAACGGGTACTATAGGCTAGCTGTTACTGTCCTATAACTTTTTCCGCAAGGTTTCTATTATTATGATGCACCTCAGCCATTTGAGAAACACAATCTTTAAAAGGTACCGTCTTCAAACACAGAACCTCCTGGATTGATAAAATGACTTATTTTCATAATTATTATTATGATTATTATTATTATTGTATATTTGAAGCTACAATCCAAGCAATTTTTAAACTTTTAGAGTGTTAAGTAATCGTAGACTTACAAATATGGTCCATGCTCAATTCCAATCCCTAATCACCTTCAATAGGGGTTGGGTAGTGTCGGAGAGTAAAAAAAATTAAACCCATTTTACAATAATATGCAATCAGTGCTTATGTTCAAAAATTTTTATAATTTTAATACATAAAATTATGATTTGATTTAACAAGACTAAGATCCCAAAAAAATTAACATTAATTTTATTTTTTTACAATTCAATTAATTTAAATTTATTAATAATGGGTAATTAGTAAGAAAAGCAAGATTCCAAATAATTCTTAGAAAGAAAGCTTGATCCAAATTATGGAGAAGTTGCCGTTTATTTAGATAACAACAAAAATTTTACATTTGCTGAAATTAAGCATGTATTATCATCTGAAACAAATATAACTGCTTTGAAATAATTGATTACAAAGAGGTATTTAAGCAACTAAATTCTAGATAATAATTGAATCATAGGGGCTTAATAAAAATATTAAGTTATGATAATGGGGAAATTGATGATTTATGCAGTTCATTCACTGTTTTATCGATAACAGTTGAATATTATAATGAAACATTATAAAATGATCTGAAACAAAGAATTATACATAAGACAACCTACACAGAATCAGAGCTAAATTATATTATTTACGAAATCTCCAGTGTTTGTCTATTTATGAGAGATTCATAAAATGAGATTCAAGATATTCATCCTTCAAAAGTTTTAATAGATGAGAAAAGGTAAATAAAATATTTTGATCAAATACTCGAAACCCAAAAAGTTAATAACTATTTTAAGATTCTTTTTGCCTTAAGAGACTTAGAATATATTGCTCCTGAATAATTAATATTATTAAAAGGAGAGATCAGAAATGATAATACAGATCAAGAATTAGTGAACGTATTTTGTTTAGGTTTGATGGTTGTAAGTTTAATAAGTGGCTTGAGATGTGTTGAATTTTATAATTAAGATAGTTTAGAATACAAAAGAGAATATGTAAATCAATTACTAGATAAATATTGTTTAAAGCATCAGTTTTCAAGCCTTTTTAAATAGATAGTAATATCTATGTTAAAGTTTCATCCTTCAGATCGCCTTAATTACACATAAATATTAAATCAACTTTAGCCCTATTAAGAAAATTTTGCTCATTTTTTAAACCATCCAGGAAAATAAAAAGGTAAAGATTATAACTTTATTAGAATTTTTTGATTCACAACTTCATTCTTCTCATACACAAGGCTCTGCTGTAAAGTCTTAAGCTTATTCCTCTATCTCATGTGATTTTAGTGAAATTGATTAAGTTATTAAGTCAGCTAGATAGAGAGCACAAACAACTTTAGACGAAGTGGGGTTAGATCTCAAACTTAATGCTTTTCAAGGTAGCATAATTACAGTTCTTGATGAGACAGATTGATTTTAAATAAAGTTATCGAAAAGTTTATATATAAATTCAATATTTCTATCTTAGAGCCATTATAAAGGAAACATAAAAAATAATTTTCTTAATTTTTAATCATTTTAAACATTAAGCAACTTAATTATAATCCTTCATATCCTAAATATAAAAATTATAAATTTATTTTCATCAGAACATTAATAATCCAATTTAACAATCAAACTAAAAAAAAACTATTTTTTTCTTATGAGCAAACCTCCTTCTTTATCTCAAAGAATATCATTGAACATCACCTTGTTCAGTGTTAGATTCTTCAAACTATGTAATTGTTGTAGAAAGAATTTTATGATTTATCAAATGCATCTTTAATTATAAATTGTACAATAATTTTTTTTTTCTCTTAATCTAAAATATGAAAATTAGATTTACAATTCGCTTATTGAGAAAAATTTTAAATTTATATCAAGAATCCTCAAACGTATCGAAAATGTTAGTGTGAAAACTCTGAGAATATTTAATTTTTGTACATAAATTAACGAAAGTATTGAAAATATATATACAAAGTTTGTTATCTAAATTCTTATACCCTTTTATTATTATTAATTTAAATAAAATGATGTTATGAATATTCATAATATTGATCTTGTGTATATTTCTGTATGATAAAATGATAAAAAGATATTAATTATTTTAATTAGAAGAAAACATTATGGATTAAAAAAAGAAAAAAAAAGAAAAGATAGGAAAGAAAATTATTGAAACAATATTTCCCTTTATGGTATTAATATTAAATAATTTAGTCAAATTAGAAAGCCAACCAATAGATTATTGGACCTGAAGAGCAAATTGTAAAAAAGGTAGATCCATACATGGATTTGTGCTAATTTGAATACATATATTCATCTATGAAAAGCGTCAGCGAAGGATCTATTTAAATATTTAGTGAATGGTTAAAAATCATGCAAGCAGATCTAATTGATCTAAACAAACTTTCTTAATTAATGATAAATGGAATAAATGATGAATGTAAAGCATTAAGAGGAGTGACTTGGAGAATATTATTAGGGTATATATTCAAGATATATCAAGAGATATTTGACACCTTCAAAAAAATAATGGATCAATCGTTTGGAAACAAATAAAAAAAATTATATAGCATTAGTTGATGAACATATTTTGAAGACTCTACGAAATACCAAATAGCCAGCTTAAAATGATCATCCACTTAATCGCTCTAAAGATTCCTCTTATAATAATCGTTTTGAAGATTTTAATCTTTGGTAAACTATTGAAAACGATACCAAAAGGACACGTTAAAAGGAAGGATTTTTTCATATTGAAAATTAAGAAACTTCATTATTTGAAGATGTAAATATTTTTCATATATAGGATTAAGTTGCTATACTTAAATAAAAGAAAATTGAAATTGAATACAATTATGATGTTTTAACTAGAATTTTGTTTATTTATACAAAATTAAATGGACAATATATTCAAGGCATGAATGAGCTAGTAGCAATATTATATTATAGTTTTGTTAATGATGATAGTATTTTATTAAGATCACAGGCAGAGGTTGACACATTTTTCTGTTTTACAATTTTGTTGAGTTAATTTAGATATAATTTTTTTTCTAAGGATGAAGCCAGCATTTGTAATGGATTTATTTAAAATAAAATAAGAATAGTTTAAGAGATTATAAAAAAACATGATTTTCGTCTATATGATCATATGCTTGTATGATTATTTTTAATATTTAGAAAATAAAAATTGACCCAAAGTTATTTATGTCTAAGTGGTTTATGACTGTTTTTACTAAAGAATTCAAACTTTATGACACAGTAATTTTGTGGGATCACATTTTATGCGAGTTAGATGATAAAAATGAATTATTAAACTATGTTGCCTTAGCAATCATACATTGGCTAAGAGAAGATTTATTAAAAGGAGAATTTGGGGAAGTTATTACAATTCTCCAAAATTTGGAAAATTAAAAACTAAAAATTATTCAAATCATAGAGACTTGTTTGATGTATAAAAAATAGTTCAAACTTAAATGATTAAATGTTCTTATAATAAAAACCTTGAAAATAAAATTTATTTAAAATTTTTTATTTTTTTTATATTTATCTGTTTAATACTCTAAATTATTCACAAATTTTAACAATAAATTTCGCTAAGTTAAATGAAATTACATCACAAACAGTACAAATAAGCAGATAAAAATTAAAAAAATGTAAAAATGTAATTATCCTAAATAGGAACTATTAATTTATCGAGAGTAAAAACAAAATTCTATAATTGATAACAGATAAAAATTGATATTTTTCGAAAAATCAGGTTTAGATGAAGGTCTATAAAAAAAAACAGACCATATAGAAGATTAATTTGAAAAAGAACTTTAATAATAAAATTAGAAAAAATAATTTCTTATAAATGATGAAACAGAAAAATACTATAAAATAGGGTTAACTAAAAACTATTCATTTAGTAGAAAATTAGTTCCTTCAGTTAGCTAACAATAGATAACTTCAAAAGTGCAATCTCCTAAAGTTTAAGGAAATTGGATGGAGTTTTTATGGTAATAGAATGAGAAATTGTTCGAAGAAAATCAAAAAAAACAGAAAATAATTAATTAACTTTTGGAATTTTAAGATAATTCATAAAAAATATCAAAAGTATCTTCGCCAAGACTTCAATAATTAACTAGTTTATAACCTCCAAAATCCGTAGAAACAAAAAAAGTAACTCTTTAGGTTTCTAAATTGCCTCAGNTTTGTTAATGATGATAGTATTTTATTAAGATCACAGGCAGAGGTTGACACATTTTTCTGTTTTACAATTTTGTTGAGTTAATTTAGATATAATTTTTTTTCTAAGGATGAAGCCAGCATTTGTAATGGATTTATTTAAAATAAAATAAGAATAGTTTAAGAGATTATAAAAAAACATGATTTTCGTCTATATGATCATATGCTTGTATGATTATTTTTAATATTTAGAAAATAAAAATTGACCCAAAGTTATTTATGTCTAAGTGGTTTATGACTGTTTTTACTAAAGAATTCAAACTTTATGACACAGTAATTTTGTGGGATCACATTTTATGCGAGTTAGATGATAAAAATGAATTATTAAACTATGTTGCCTTAGCAATCATACATTGGCTAAGAGAAGATTTATTAAAAGGAGAATTTGGGGAAGTTATTACAATTCTCCAAAATTTGGAAAATTAAAAACTAAAAATTATTCAAATCATAGAGACTTGTTTGATGTATAAAAAATAGTTCAAACTTAAATGATTAAATGTTCTTATAATAAAAACCTTGAAAATAAAATTTATTTAAAATTTTTTATTTTTTTTATATTTATCTGTTTAATACTCTAAATTATTCACAAATTTTAACAATAAATTTCGCTAAGTTAAATGAAATTACATCACAAACAGTACAAATAAGCAGATAAAAATTAAAAAAATGTAAAAATGTAATTATCCTAAATAGGAACTATTAATTTATCGAGAGTAAAAACAAAATTCTATAATTGATAACAGATAAAAATTGATATTTTTCGAAAAATCAGGTTTAGATGAAGGTCTATAAAAAAAAACAGACCATATAGAAGATTAATTTGAAAAAGAACTTTAATAATAAAATTAGAAAAAATAATTTCTTATAAATGATGAAACAGAAAAATACTATAAAATAGGGTTAACTAAAAACTATTCATTTAGTAGAAAATTAGTTCCTTCAGTTAGCTAACAATAGATAACTTCAAAAGTGCAATCTCCTAAAGTTTAAGGAAATTGGATGGAGTTTTTATGGTAATAGAATGAGAAATTGTTCGAAGAAAATCAAAAAAAACAGAAAATAATTAATTAACTTTTGGAATTTTAAGATAATTCATAAAAAATATCAAAAGTATCTTCGCCAAGACTTCAATAATTAACTAGTTTATAACCTCCAAAATCCGTAGAAACAAAAAAAGTAACTCTTTAGGTTTCTAAATTGCCTCAGATACATACACCAAAACCAAACTTGAAGAATAGAATAGAAACAAATGAAACAGCCTAAACTCTAGATGAATCGCCAACGTTGTATAAATGTTTTTCTCCACGAGAAATTAATCAACAAAATTGGAGTTTTGGAAAATAGTTATATTTAGATGAAGAGAAGATTTATCAAAAATAAAATTAATAACAACAATTAAATTCACTAAATATTAAGTAATTCAAATTGACAGCCTAAAAAGATAAATTTAATTAGAAATAGTATTCACATCTAACTTTAAAGATTAAAACTAATTTTTAAAAACCTCTATTAAAATTACCTCAAGAATTTCATTTATAAGATTGGAATAAAAAAAAATAATAACTTGATAATTGAAACATTAATGAAAATAATGACTAAATAATAATTAAAACATCTATTAGTTTCATTTATTATCATTTATTTAATCTCTTGCTTCTTCAATCGAAACTTCATCCTCATAATTTATTTTTTCTTAAATTTAATCAATAGACTTTAATTCTTCGTAATTTAGAATCAAAGAGGAAAACAATTCTAAATCCTCTTGAAATTATGATTCTTTCATATCAGTTCTTGTTAAAAACCAGTGAAGGAAGCACTTTCTTTAATACAAATTTTTAAACCTAGATTAAATATTTTTCATAGGGTTCAATATTTGTAAAGAATTAGCAACTAAACAAGCAGTTTTACTTGTTCTACCTAACTCACAATTTGGAAATTAAATAGTGCTTTTTTAACTGAAGGCTATTTGATAATTGAATGGGACCCAGTCTGCAAAATTAATCGATTTAAAAGATTTAAGATCAGTTATAGTTGATTATATTTCTTAATAAGAACAATCTCCTTAAAAAAATAAATTAGCTCCAAAATATTTTAAATGATCTGGCGAATATTTCATAAATGATCCTACTTCATTAAAAAGGGATTCCGAAATTGAAGATAAAGTAATTATTTTAGTATTTTCTTTATCTTTTGAAATAAAAGGAGCAAATGAACTATGTAAAAATTGTAATTGCGGTAGTTAAACTAAATTTTAATACAAATCCAAAAGATCTATGAATTGATCTTTATTGAATCTTTATGACGATGTAATTGACGATACCATCTAAGTAATCATTCTATTAAAAATATCATAATTTGCCTAATCTAAATCTAATTAGTTCTCACAAACTTTAAGAAGTGCATGGTTATCAATAAAAATATTAAAGTCAGAAAATTTTTTTAATTGATTTATTGTGAAAACAGAGTTATATGGCTCAACGATTGTTGAAGAAGAGTTCTAATCTGATGATAAAAAAGAAACAGTTGATTTAATTACTTTCGAAAAATCATCTTCAAATTAGGACAATAAATATGATGCATAACTTCCTCCAAAACCTCCACCTACAGAATGATATATCATTATTCCTTATAAAGAATCACATCTTTCTAATATTTTATAAATTTGTTATGTAAAAATTTGTGAAACTTTTGATTTTTCCTAGCAAGAGATCCAAACACTCCCTGAATCTTCATTAATTTCTTAAAGAAAATTAGTTGAAAACAATTTGTTAAGTTATCCCTTTTTAATTTAATTAACATTTTAATAATCACTATCAGCTAGAAAAGCTAAGGGAA